AATGTGCAACCTTGTCGTTTACGTCTCTAACATGTGTTATATGCTATCATATGTTATATCCAGGTACAGTACACTTAATTCGAACCAACTATATTAACTTAAACTAATTCCGTTTCAAGACGTAAACATAATTAGAACTTATTGTTAATGTAAGGACGTTTTCTTCGTACTCCCGCCAAATCCGCTTCGAGCTTATATTGTGTAGGTAAACAGCCTACTTATCCATCTCGCTCTAACATATATATTTTTATGTTTTTGTTTTGCATTACTAATCTATATATATATATATATATATATAATAATAGTAATAATAATAGTTTGTAACAATGTAAGCAAAGGTGAACATACCTCTTCCAGTCAACCTAACACAATGGGGGGAAAGGGATTGTTAGTAATGGAGACTGAGAATCGCATTGCTAACAATATACCCAACCAGGTCGACCTCCTCGCGGTTCTCCCTGGAAACTATCATCGTTAATTCCTGATGAATTCATCATGGGCTGACTGGCCTGTTTTCATTCTCATCTATCACCCTTCACTGGTGCTCCGCCAGCGTATCCCGTTAGCGCAGGCTACCATACCATTTTCACCCATCAAAAAAAAACCTAACACAATGGCGAAAGAAGTAGTGATTATACTTACTTTATAACCTAGAATTAGTTGCACCGACAAGAGGAAACTCTTAAATGAAAATGAATGAATAACCTAACTCTATATTTACCAGAGGCAGACTTTGTACCAAAGTCATTTGTTTGGGCACTTCTGTTCCATTCGTGTTTCAACTGTGAAACAGTTGTGTTTGCATGACTGTGTTTCGATTTGAAGGGTGGGATATCGTAGTGACTTTACAGGGTACAGAGGAATAACGCCTGAGTACACAGGAATGGCAACGCATGGGGCGTATCAGGAGTGAAAGAGAATACTCTATTATGTCCACGGTACTGCTCACGTTTATAGGCGACGATTACCACTTTCCAACAGGTGGGTCGTCAGCTAAATTTGCCATTCTAAGTTGTATAAAAAAAATATATAAAAAGGTATATATTGTCTATAAAGGTATATTGAAGGTCTATACCAAGAAATGTTTACCAGAGGGAGACTTTGTACAAAAGTCGATTGCATGGGTACCTCTGTCCCATTCGTGTTTCAACCGTGAAGCAGTTGTGTTTGCATAGCTGTGTTTCGGTTTGAAGGGTGTGATATGGCGTGAATTTACAGGGTACAGAGGAATAACATCTGAGTCCTCAGGAATGGCAACGCAGGAGGGGTATCATGAGCGAAACGGTGTGCTCTGTTATGTTCATGGTACTGCTCATGTCTATAGGCGACGGTTACCACTTTCCATCAGGTGGGCCGTCAGCTTGTTTGCCATTCTAAGTTGTATAAAAAAAAAAAATGTATTATCCAAAAATTTAAGCTTCTGTTATACAAACGGAGTGTTCTCCGATTTCCTTTCCTTTATCAAGCCTGGAAACGTAATTCGCAGAACTTAGGGAAACTTCATTACAGTGAGTGCTCTTAGTGTCTTAGAAGACCAAAATGCGGTTATCATCTTTGAAAATGTTGCCTTTTCTCTTATATATGAGGAGAATGGATCATCCAACTTAGTAGGTACTTATCCAATTTGTTAAAAGACGACATAGAAAAAGATATATTAATTTTTTATATATACATATATATATATTTATCTATCTATAGATGTACCTATTATAACTATAAAATAAAGAATATAATTGTTTTTTTAGTGGATGACAATGGTGTACACGCTTATGGTAACGGTATACAATGTTGAAAGATCAGTTGGGGCTGAAGTGATGATAATTATGACGGGTCAGTTGGCTCACAGTGACAAATTCACTAGAAAATATCCATGATGATTTCCAAGTGGGACCGCGTGGAGGTCGACTTGGCATGTTATATAAACAACCCCATTACGTAATTGAAATTGTTATTAAGCTACGGCTTATGCATGCAAATTGTAACAGAAAATTAAAGAAAAGAGTATATTCCTTTTTAAAAGGCCGGCAACACACCTGCAATGCCGCTGGTGTTGTGGGTGATCATGGGCGGCGGTAGTCACTTACCATCAGGTGAGCCGCATACTAGTTTGCCCCCTGCGTTGTAAAAAAAAATAAGAGTATTCTAAGACTATACTAATCTTAAGGCTATTTATTTATTTAACTCTTTATTGCACCATAAATAAAAATATACAATGACAAGTGAATAATTCAAGTGAAATACAGTAACATAAATATACACATAAAGGTACAAAAGGCGGTCTTATCGCTAGAGCAATCTCTTACAGACAACCTTTGGTTAAAGGAGCAAGTATCAGCATAGCTATTCCAAACAGGATGCAATAGAAATCATTAGCATCATTTTAAAGGAATATTCTAACAGTGAAGAGAATATTCTACCAGAAGGAGAATGTACAAAAATAGTCTGCTTGGGTACGTCTGTCCCATTCGTGTTTCTACTGTTAAGCAGTTGTGTTTCCATGGCTGTTTCCTGTTTCCACCGTTAATATTGTATTTAAAATGTTTAACCTATTAATATTAAATGTGGGTCACTAGCTCAGTAAATTGATAAATTGAATGACACAAATACATTTTGATCCGCAGCGTAGCGACTTCGATCGAGACAAAATTAATACTGAGAAGTAACACTGAAATAAATATTGACGTTGTAGTTATGTCACGATGTATTATTACCACTTTACATCAGGCGGGCCGTCAGCTTGTTTGCCATTCTGAGTTGCATGAAAAAAGGTTATATGTATCTAAAATGCATAGAAATTAAAGCTATGTTAAAATAAAGTGTTAAGTATGAAAGTGGATAAATGTAAAGGAAGGGAACGACCAAAGAAAAGGTGAGTGGACTGTATGAAAGATGATACGCTTTAAATACAAGTGAACCCGGAAATGGCGGATTTATGGAAGAAGAAGACATACTGCGCCCTGCGCCGACCCTAACTAAATAGGAAAAGGTAAGGCAATGATGATGTAAAAACAATTGCTGTTTGTTAAACTCAAAATCGGCTTGACCGACTTAAATATGTTTATTTCCCTGCTTTATTCGCTATAATACAGGGGTAGTTTAAAAGAAAGAAAATTATTTTATATAGAAATCGCTAACTTGGTTTACTTTTGATAGATGGCGTTGTTTGATACGAATTTTACCAAGTCATTTAGTATATAAAATAAAAATGGAAGGTACCTTAAATTTACCAGTATCTTGTGTAAGTATAAGGGGGGAAAGGGGAAGGATTGTTAGCAATGCGGTCTATCAGTCCCATTGCTAGCATTATAACCTTTTAGGTCTCCACGCGGTCTCCCCTAGAAACTATCGTGCTGATTTTATGGTGCATTCATCACGATAGCTATCTGTCTTTTCATTTTCACCTATCATCCTTCTATCATCATAATACCTATCAACAGTACAAAGCAAATAATTACTTTTCCAGTATAAAATGCATATTTCATGAATGAAAGCCTTTTTCTGATGCAGTGATTTTCTGCTAATGTCAAGGTTAAAGAAAACACTACATTATTCTTATAACAAGGCCATAGATGGAGAATAGAACAAGGTGAAGGTAAAGTTGATTTAAATTTTAAAATAGACTCAATCCAAAACAAAGCACGAAAGAAGTAACTGATTCTTCGTTATAAAATTTTAATGCCAATTTAAAGATGTTAACATAGCGTTCTTGACTTATGGCATTCAGACGTAACCTTTTTTATACATCATATATCATAACGTCACTATAATAAAAAAAAATCGTTATATTTAAAACACAATAAATCATACTATAACGAATATTATAAATATACAAGTAAATATTTTTCCCAAAAAAAAAAAGCACCAACTTCAATTGTAACAAAACGGGTTACTTAGATTTAAAAATCGAACTACGCAACTGTGATAATATTTTCGCTCGCTCTATATGACCCAGTCGGCCGTAGAATACCGACTTTATTGTCTTTGTTTAAAGTCTTTATTCGCTCGCTATTTTCATAAAACTCATAATTCATATTTTATTTTCAATAGCAAATAGTAGCGAATGCAACATTAAGTCAAAATAATATCACTGAGATTAAAAGTAATAATTTCACAATAATGATAATAAATTAAATGTACATACGTACTTACATACGTCTGACGTGGCATTCCGGATGGCGACTTCATTTAGTTACGGTTTCGGATGTCACGTAAACTCATGCATGTGACAAACATTTTCAAATGATGTAAAATCAGAAAGGCTGAGATTCGTTCTTGGCATATTTGGACCGCAGTCAAGCATTGTTCAATTGAGCTGTCGCGGCTCAACAATTTCTATTTATGTAATAAAGCAAAACCTGTGGTAGACCGCAAACCGTTTTCAATTACAATGACAAAATATATTATTGTTTCTCTATGTTTTTGCCGCTAACATTAAAATTAAATTAGTAATCAAATAAATGGCAGTAGTATAAGTAATAGACTTCAATATAGTAAGTCATTTATTTCACGTTTTTATTTTTAATTGAAACATGTTGTTCAGTTAAATTCTTCATATTCGTTACATTTTGACAACCCTATAACTATATCCCGACTATCATTTACAAAGTAGGTCATACTATTGTTCACTCCATAATGTACTAAATATCACCGAGCCATAAATATAGGGTTGTGACCAATCAATACTATCAAATATTACTTAGTTACACGTATTACTTCCCCATATTAATCGAAGCGAAAATAGGCGTGTTTTTCGTATGATGCTTTTGTCAATAGCAATGTATTGGTAGTTTTTAAATAATCGATCTAAAAATATTATGAATTAACTTTTTCAAACAATACTTTAATATATAGGTTTCTTTTGTAAGATATATGAAAATTCTAAAAGTAACCTAAAAAGAATACCTCTGAGACAGAGCCCGTATTTTCGACGTGAAGCAGCTGTGCTTCCATGGCTGTGTTTCGGTTTGAAAAATGGGGTGTGGTAGTGAAATTATACGACATGGATCATGAATTATTTTATTTATATTTACAAACTAAGAAATCTTGACAGTTTCCCAATTCGCTCCCTTAGCAATCACATACAATACAAGACATAATAACATTTATTTATTGAACATTTTCTAAATAATGTACTGCTATTCTACGAAACTCGACAAGTTTACAAGTAAATATATCCAAGTCCGGATACTGAAAATGCTCGTGAAGAGGAGCCTGTTTTGCTACCTCTATTATTCTCAACGGAACATGGAAAAGTATAAAATTATAACACTATAGTCCTCGGTAATGTCAACGTATCAGAGATACCATGGGTGTCATATGGTATTCAGTGATTTCCGTGGTGCAGTTCATGTCTATTGGCGAGGATTATTTATTTTATTTTTAAAGCTTCTGTTCATTTTTATTCAATGTCTATATAAATTCGGGAGATTAATGAACTCATTGTATGATTTGTTGTTTCCGACAATTGTTTCGACTTCATCTGGAAGTCTTCTTCAGATGGCGTTTAGCGATTTGCATCACAGGGTCTGTCCTCGCACTGCGAGCATAGCAGTGCATAGCAGGACTATTTATTATCACTTTCCATCAGGTGGGCAGTTAGCTTGTTTTTAAATCAGCATAAAAATATTTACAAAGTGATGCTTTTTGCGCAGGTAATGGCTACATCGAGGGTACAGAGCTGGATGGTTTTCTCAAGGAGTTCGTGTCCAGTGCCAACTTCACAGACATTAGTCCTGATGTGAGTACCGCCTACTGATATTGAAGGAAATCAAATACTTTAAAACAATAGTGTTTAGCATTCTAAGTCTCGGCCCTATAGTGGTTTGTTTGAATCGAAGCATTTGGCGTTCCATTGTTTCTGCCTACCCTAATGGGAGACAGGCGTGACAGATATGTATGTATTTATGTATGTCTCGGTCCTATTTAAGAAGACATGGGAAATTTCAGTATTACCTTATACTTTAAAACAAATTTTTCATGCCAGATTATAGTGATGAACGTAATCATTGGTGAAACTATTGTACCAATTTTACACCAAATTTCATACAAAAAAAAAATCAAATAATTATTCATCATTTACAGAATTTCAAGTCGAGTTACAGTTAATTATGCCATTCCCATTACAAATTCGTGGTATTTTATTCTAATTTCGAGAACGTAGCGTTTTCTATCTACTTAATAAAATTAATAATGTTTAAAAATAATATTAATTTATAACAATAATAATCCCGTCACTTCAAATTGTAATTACATTTATAAAATTCAGCGTTAAACATTATTCATATTGTTCTTTATTATTGATTATTTATTTGTTCTTCAACACTTTAGAACTCCTTCTCGATAAGCCAGTCTTTCAGTGTCTTTTTTTTTTTCATTTTAAGAATTTAGATTGCTTGCAGCAGAAAAAAATATTTGCAATATTACAAGGTACAGAGATGTAGCATCCCAGTCTAAGTCGCGGGCAAACATTAGTAAATATCATAAATGGTTGATACAACATTAATATACATACATACAAATACTCCGGTTGGTGCAGTTATCGTATTTAATATCTACATTTATCAGATTTTGTTTTACTTTAAATAGATATTTTATAAAAAGATTTACAGAGCAGCAACAAGACAGTCTTGTAGTAGTAAAGTATAGTGTCACACAGAGGGCGTCTCAACCAAGCGATTAATATAAAATTTGCAGGGTAGTATGGTGACCGTTCCGCTGTAATAATTTACACGGCCTACCCACTACGTTTATGCCGGTCCGCCATTGTCTAGGCACGTATTAGTGTTAACATAAATCTTTTACGTAATTTCTTTCTAATAAATATATCTGTTACAAAGAAAAAAAAAACAACAATAATTTTACAATTAATACATACCAAATTCCTTCGACCCAAAGGTTGTCTGGATGAGATTGCTTAGCAATAAGACCGCCTTTTGTACTACATTATACGTATTGAAAATTGTTCAACAAATCCTGTTATGTTGGTGCAATAAAGTGTTAAATAAATAAATAATACCAAATTGGTTTACGCTGTTAACTTTCTTAATTAATACAATACTATCATACCTACTTGTACAACAAATAAATCCATTACTCTAACGTTGTCTTGAAAGATTGCGCTCAACAATAAGACCGCCTTACAGTACTTATACAATTGTATCGTTATATTTATTAACTAGCGGCCCGTCCCGGCGTCTCACGGGTGGACATTTTTACATTTTAAAAAGGGGCCATTTAGGCTGCACACGCGACGAAAGCTTAAAAATGGAGTAACTTCTCCCGTTTTCCCAACATTTCCCTTCACTGCTCTGCTCCTATTGATCGTAGCGTGATGAAAAGTATACCTGCCCAGAAGTATGAAGAATAATTCTTCCAAGTTTCGTTAAAATCCGTCGAGTTGTTTTAGTTTCTATAACGAATATACAGACAGATAGACAAAAATTTTACTGATTGCATTTTTGGCATCAGAATCGATCACTAATCACCCCCTGATAGTTATTTTGAAAATATATTTCATGTACAGAATTGACCTTTCTACAGATTTATTATAAGTACAGATAGATTGTCTTGCTTATTTCTTATATTGTATAATGCCAATAAAGTATAATCATTCATTCATTCATTAAAACTATTTACATTAAAAAAAATAGCAAACGGATTTGTCTATTTTACTTACAATAATTTTCCGCCTCAGTCTGAAGAACTAAAACAAATAGACAGCTAATTGGAGCGGCTGCCAATCCGACTTTCTCTGAGAGATTCGAGATGGATTGTCAGTTTTCATTTCGCTTACCCCTGTAGACAAAGTTAAGGATGCGAGCTAATTGGATACTTCAACATTAAAGAAAATATGATTTAAAGACAAAGTTACAAGTTGAAGAAAGTTGTTGCGATGCCTAGTTGTAATTCCATACAAATATTGTTAAATGTGAAAATGAGTTAATTTCTTTCTTACCTAAACGGCTTAACCAATTACTATGAAATTTGGTATTTATGTACTATATGGAATGGACCAGGATATAGGCTACATTTTATCCTGGTCAGTAAACATATCCCGGTCACGTGAAGTCGCAGGTAAAAAAATAAACATATTCACAAATAGAATTAATTTTCTCGGTGTCATTGAAAACTGAGGGCCTACCATGAAGTGTTTTCCGAAATTTCGGAGCCAAACGAAACACAAATTTGATGTTAAAATTACATAATACATGCCTTTTGAAAATATTAAAAATGTTAAAGTATTGTTCTTTTGGACAATTATGATAGGATGTATGATGAACGAAATGTTAATTAAATTCCATTTATTGATCCGATTTTGGTATAAACAAAAACACGAAATTAAGTCCGAAATTTCGGAATTTCATTTCATGGTAGACCCGCTGATAGTTTACCGTAGTACGACATGGGTATTATATATTAACAGATATTATATTATATATTACCAGAGGGAGACTTTGTACAAAAGTCGATTGTTTGGGTACCTCTGTCCCATTCGTGTTTTTCCGTGAAGCAGTTGTGTTTGCATGGTTGTGTTTCGGTTTGAAGGGGTATAATGGGCGAAACAGTATACTCTGTTATGTCCATGGTACTGCTCATGTCTATAGGCGACGGTTACCACTTTCCATCAGGTGGGCCGTCAGCTTGTTTGCCATTCTAAGTTGTATAAAAAAAAGGAAAGGGAAGGGTGGCCCATTCTATGTCGGGAACACACTGCGGGTGGTAAGATTTACTTTCCTATTTTCGTGACGCTAAAATAAAACATTAAACGTAGCTACATCAATATTATAAAGATAAATTCTAAATATATTTAACTCCATAATTCTTTCACCTATAGAAAGCTGCTTTATTTGCGAATATGGTGGACTGTATTTTATTATTAAAAAAATCCAAACAAATACGAAGTATGTCGCTAATAACAAATAAATAAAGTGTTAGGTTGACTGGAAGAGATCTCTTTTAGAGATAAGTTCGCCTTTGCTAACATTGTTATTAACTTATTGTTGTTACTGTATGTTTTAGTACAATAAAGAATATGTATAAATATTATGTAGCCGAGGTCTCCAAACTTACTAAAATTCTGCGACGCTCTAGGCCGCTATGAAGGGTAAACAGGGACGCTCCGAGACGTTCTTGATACGAGTATTTCTCGGAAACTGCTAAGTATCATAAAAAATAAATATAATATTTATTGTATCATAATTTTACACAATTCGACTAAAGGTATTGTGGCGTCTCTTTCCAGTAATTTTCTCTGCACGTTCTCAAAGTTGAAAGCACTTAAATAAATTAATAAACAATAATGATGATGACGCAGTCTACCACTACGCTTCGATCTAAACTAAACACGAACCGTTCTAGAATAATTACGGTTATTTTTAAACAATTACAGAAAATTAATTATTAATTACTTATCAAAAGATTCATAACTGTAAACATGACGGGGTCATCAGAGACGTTGTGGTAAACGTTTGACGAGTGAAAATTTTATATTTAACGCTTATGTTAATTTTTTATTCTCGTATATATACGAGAAATTAATGAACTCATTGTTTTTGTCGTTTCCGACAATTGTTTCATCCGGAAGCCTTCTCCAGGGGACCGGAAGCCTTTCCCGTATGTATATAGACATCAAGTGAAAATTTATTTATTTATTTACTCATTTATTATAACGATGTAATTTCGTCTTGTCCAAACATATATCTATAATGTCGCATAGTATTCGAATAACACATTAATGACCTTTCTTTCAACTTTTCCATTGTATAGTTAAATATAGAATGGAAATGGAATCAGACCTCAGGAATGGCAACGCGTGGGGGGTATCATGGACAAAACAGTATACTCTGTTATGTCCATGGTACTGCTGATATCTATAAGCGATAGTTACCACTTTCCATCAGGTGGGCCGTCACCTTGTCTGCCATTCCAAGTTGCTTAAAAAAATATATAAATAAAAAAGTACAAGAATCTCCTCAATCCTTTAGAACTCAATATCTCTCATTTAGGTAATATAACTTGTTCTTTTATTTATTCAATCTTATCTCTTGTAATTAATTACTCTATATGTTTCCAGACATATTTATTTATATCGAGGGATTAGCAGCTCAAGAATTTTTATATGAAAAAAAAAAAACAAATTACAAACTCCGCGACACGAAACGATGGAGTACTAATATTAATTTTCGATCCCATCACGAAAACACGGGATCAAACTTTTTCAATCACGATCCTGAAAGAGTAAAATATGAGCTTATTATAAGTATTTTATCGTCTCGTATAGATCCGATTTCCGACCGATAAAAATGTTGATTACACGAATATAAAAGATATTACAGTATATATATTTTATACTAGCTGTAACCCGCAGCTTTGCCTGCGTAAATCAGTATATAAACTATTCTATGTTTTAAGTCAGAATATACCATATGTTTACCGTATTTCAATCAAACTCATTCAACCATTTAAATGTTATTCAATAACAAACATTCAAATCTCGAAACATCTACTTAATGTTTATATGTATGTTAGGCCCGTATATATGTACCGTATGTGCATGCTATAGGCTAATATTAACTTTATTTAATTAACACTGTTTTACTTATTCTACTAGAACGCTAGCGCGTCTGCCTTGAGGAGGTGGGCGTTGACGACACAGTTGTGTCGTAGCTGTTTTTTTAACTAATGTGGCTGTTATCGTACACTAACCTACTTTTGTAATTTGTAACAAAGTTTTTATGGTTCCAACAAATGTTATTCTTATATATTATATCTTTATGAACGTTCATATTTATAGTATTAATTGGATTTTATACGTTAACCGAAAGGAGAGTCTGTACGGAAGTTGTTTGCTTAAGTACCGTTGTCTCATTTGGGATTTTACTACTAAGCAAATGCGTTTGGACCGCTATGTTTCAGTTTGAAGTGCGAGAATGGCAACGCATGAGGTATATCACCGACATCACAATATGTTCTATGATGCCCATAATTTTGTTCATAAATTTGAGAATATGATCAATTTCCATTAGATAGCCTGTCGGACGGATTTTCATTATACAATACATTGCATGTTGTATCAGCCGTTAGCTGTCCACTGCTGAACATAGCCTCCCCCATAAAACAAAACCACCTATTTTTCTAGTAGTTGCCATGCTTGACAAGCGAGTTGTCAACCGCATTTTAGCTTTTGGAATGTTTAAAGAGGGACGCTGTAGCACATGCCTCGACTATTAAGTTCCCTTAGTCGCCTGCCTTTTCCGACACTTATGAGAAAGGAAAGGATGGACCATTCTATACCGGAACCACATGGCAATATAGATAATAGCAAGACATATTGCAATATATCTTCTATAGTAATATTCGAGTCGCCACAGACTCGGCTATTATATATATTTTTATTAAGTCACCGAAGTATGTGGACAGATAGGTATAGCACGACGTATATATTTTTATTTATAAAATAATAATAGGAATAGTAGCCTTCGCTATCGGTATACGCTGAAGGGGCACCAGTGAGATGACAAGTGAGGATAAAGCAAGTCAGTTGACCCATTGTGACGAATTTTTAAGAATTATTCGCGATGGTTGATATGGTATGATGGTGGAGGGTATAATGCTATTGGCCGCTAACCTCCATAACTAACATCCCCCCCCCCCCTCTCAGTACGACATATTACAGTATAGTAAACAGCAGAGCTAATGAGTAGTAATACACTGTGGCAGCTTCCTATATCAGTCTGTCTGGCTTAAACTGTTAAACGTACATAAAAATAGCTTAATAAACGTAGGGTATTCTCTTCTAGTGAATTATTCGGTTCTAGATTAAAAACACATAGCAGGCCAACAGGACACCTACAATGCCTCTAGTGTTGCGGGTGATCATGGGCGGCGATAGTCACTTGTCATCAGGTGAGCTGCGCGAGTATGTGATCCTAGTCTCCCAAGCCATTGCAATTTCTAACCAGTATCGCCTCGACAACTACTATGTCCGTCTTTCACTTTCCCCATAAATCCTTCATTCCTTTCATGTTTTAGTTGAGTTTATCCAATACAAACAAACATAAAAAAATCTTTTCTTTTTATAATATTAGGGCAAATAGAAGAAACTTAAACATTGAAAAATTATAGATTTGTTTTCCCGCCATTTATAAAAAAAAAATCTATATAAATATTTTTTAAATGAATTATTACCTCAAAATAATATAGGCAAACCCAGAGCAGAACCCAAACAGCAGATGTATTGTAAGCATTTACACCAGGATGCAAGTTCGCAAGTAAACAAAAACATATCATAGGTACTTACTTACGTATATTTATGCATAGATGAATAATTATAAATGGTTTATATTTGCATACAGGAATTACCAAGAAATTCATATACTTGGGAATTAACTGCTAATGAATAATAATATAAGTACTTATTATTAATAATTAATTGCAAATTCTTTAATGTATGTATATACATGTAATTCAATGTATTTCTGAGATTTTAAAATTCTATATATTTTAATTTGAAAGTGCTATCTAAAGAAAAAAAGAAAGAATTTATTGATACAATCATACGACTCGCACAGTAACATAAATGAAAAAAAAACTATTATATTATAATGTAATCTATACTATATATAAGAATCGCTAAATGTGTTACTAAACACAAATTTCGAAAATATCTGAACCGATTTCGATAATTATTTTTTTAGAATATTCCTTAAAGTACAAGGATGGTTCTTACGGAGAGAATAATAAAAAAAATACCTAAAAAATTCTAGAAACAACTCTTTTCTATACTCCCATACAAATAATTCGTAATAATACATAAAAGTCAATTTGAACTTTAATGCCATGCCCATAAAGTTCAAGGCACGACGTGTTTTATAATTTTTATTGTTTTGACATAATGTAATTGTTGACTTATTAAATTTCTTTTTTCTTTTTTTATCTTACTAGCTGACCCGGCGTCCCGAATAGCAGAATAAGTATTAAAAAAACTACAAAATTAATGAATCGACTGTTAGGCGGTACGAAGTTTACGGGGTCATCTAGTAAAAAATAAAAATACACAACAACAAAGATAAGTGTAAATGTGTACTCGTGTGCGTGTGTGTCGCAATGTTCAGTGAAACAGGTCCATGCTCAGCATATTGCTGCAACGTTTGAGACGCTACATCGCTGTTTTTCATAAACCATGGCGCTTGTAAAAAAAGAGAGCTGTATATGTGTTGATATTCTGCGCAATTACATCAAATATATGTATACTATAAATCTAATAATCACATAATATCAAATAATCTATCTATATAACCTAAATTCATCAATCAGTTTCCACACACCTTTGATTCACTTTTATCATTCCATTAGCACACTCTTCACCATAAAATATTGAGGACGGAACTAAAACCGGCTTGACTGTACCCTTATTATCAGCAATCGATCCATTGTACTTATCACTCCCAGTAGACTTTCCATTTGTTGTATTAAAATTTGATTCTGTTGCTATATTTTTTGCTATATTACGAGTATCAAATACGATTTTGTCCTTGTTGCTAGTTATTATAACATTTCCCGTTTGGCTGGCTTTCGTTAAAGCTATTTTCATTCTTCTCTGAAATGTTTCTTCTGGACTGTATGTAGTCATTAGCAGATCATCGTATGTTAATGAGGCACATAATGTACTTTGGAAACAAACACACAATATTATAAGATTCCACATAGCGACGCTGCTTCGCGACCAAGTTTACTTAAAGACTGAGCAATTCTAAAACCTGCTTAGGTAATGATGTACATTAAGAAACGATTAGAATACATATTCATAAATATATTATTTTTATCATTTCTCATTCTCAGTACAGATAGGTACTTAATTAATTATCGCCTTTATTTAGTAAACATAAGTGATTGTTTTATCACCAAAAGTATGTGTTAAGTTTAAAAGTTCCGTATAATTTAAATTTTTAATTCCGATATTAATGTCTCTTTAAGTTATTATATTTTTAGCCGACTTAAAAAAGAAAGGAGTCCGCTTGTATTTTTTTTTTTATGTTTGTTACCTCATAACTCTATCAGTTATTTAGAAAATTATTTTTTAACGGAAAAGATATAGGTACTTACAGATTGGTCTCAAAGAAATTTTACCAAAATCGGTTCAATACAGTTTTGGCACGATTGAAGTCGGTTTTTATGGAACAATTTTTAAGATTTAAAAAAATATATAATAATAAATTTATATATATAATAAATTTATTTATAACAATAAATAAATTTAAAAAGATTTTATAATAATAAATATAAGCTTGTAATCATAAATTGTTATAAGATTTTATTTAATTTGCAATATATGTTAGTTTGTTACCTCAAATTTTACAAGCTGAATAAAAACCACTTCTTGCAATGGGTTTGAATTTGCTAATATCTATCAGGCTGAAGTAATCAATTATATCTATCAGGCATAAGAAATCAATTTAAAATCTAAATTCGTAAAATTTGTACTACACAAAGCCTACCTTTTAAAAAATATATATAAACTGAAATTGGATCACAGTTGATAAAAGTATTTTACTGATTTATTTAAGCATATCAACATTACAAATAAATGCATTGACAACATATACGAGTATTAACAGAAAAAATACAGTATTGTCATCAATTATAGACATGCACAATATTGAAATAATACATTGAGACAAAAAGAGGTTTATATATATATATATATATATATATATATATATATATATATATATATATATATATATAATAAAAAAAAATGTTTCAGTTTGTAGGGTGAATGAAAGTGAATTTACAGGGTACAGAGAAATAACACCTGAGTCCTCAGAAATGGCAACGCATGTGCGAAACAGTATACTTTGCTATATCCATGGTATTGCCCATGTCTATAGGCGACGGTTACCACTCTCCATCAGGTGGACCGTTAGCTTGTTTGCTATTCTAAGCTGCATAAAAAAAATATAAAAATTTAGGGCTGACTCAAATTAATACTGTTAGTTAATATTTTAACCTTAAACGATTGTGGTTGATCATGAAATATATCTAATTTTGTTTCATTTTATGTAGTCTGTTGTGATTATCAATCTTGTTATAGGCGCATGTAACCTCAAATTGTTTCTATGAGAAGGAACTTCGAAAAAATATTTATCCTTAAATTTTCGAATACCTTAGACCTACCTACATAGACAGACAATACACAGTTTAGAATCACCTCGTTTTTGAAGTCGAAAAGAAGTAAAAAATGCAGTACTAAAGATAGAATGGTAATGATGACGATGTCAGCCATTAACTTACCACTGCTCTTGGGGGGTTAAAGATAGTACCAAAATACAGGACTGAAGATTGTTTCGTTAGTCGACAACCCTAATAATATTACTAAGTAAAATAGCAACGGATTTTTTTTTCCTGTACACATTCGTAGTTATTCGTAGATTTTAATTCTGTGTTATTAATATTAATTGTGACTAAACATTAATAAAGATTTCTCAATCTGAGTCATAGGAAAATACGAAGCTTTAATTTTTTATCTATGTTATCTAAATTTGGGTGCTTGTGAAAAAACAAGCTACAATAAACTTGTTTACGATTGAATATTTATAACAAACTATATGAAATAATATCAAGGATGCATAAAATATAAGCTATTTTTTACAATTTCATTTATTAAATATTATATTATGAAAAACTACAGATATGGTGAATTTATATTGTTATTAGTTTCAAGTTAAAATATTTCACTCATTTCACTAACACTTATATTACAAATAATTTATTTTAATTATACGGATAATTAAATATAATAACTAAATATTATTAAAAAAAAATAACAGTAAAGACAAAAAACCAATTATTACAATTTACAAATAAAAACAAGATTTAACTTAATGCATATGGTATCGCTAATATGTACTATGTACAATCAACTAAATTAAACTTGAAGTAATGGATACAAACATTGCAAGTAGGCAGTTATGCAAAATAAAGAGTTAAAATCACACATTTAAAGATTAATTATTAAACAACCATTGACACAGCCACACGTCTTGCGAATTCTTACAATTGAATAAATCTAAATAAAAATATTCCTCCCAATTATCTATACAAATGATGAAAATTATCTATACAAATGATGACATATTTTAATGCAATAACTTACATGTAATTAGATTGAAAAAGCTCGATTAGTTTCGGGACCATTCGGGACCCTTAATCGTAAGCGCCTTGCCCCGCTGAGAGTTACAAGCGCTTGCGGTATCCTCACAGATACATTTTACATTCGTAAGCACACATTATATTAAAATATATTGTGTGCTTACGAAACATTTATTAATAAAAATGATGAAAAACAATGCAATTATTTAGAGAAAAAATAATCATCGCGCTTACTTGTGATGACAAAATATAACAATATTTTAATTTCATCGTATGATCTATTAAATATACACAAAGATTATGTACAATTTTCTAAGTAGTTTAAGACCGACTTTTTATTCAAAACAGATACCTAAGTACCCTTTAGATTAGACTATCTATAGTGCCTAAATATTATTTATATTATATATTAATATCTAAAATACAATAAATAAAATAAATGTCACTTTATCAATGTATCACATATTGACCACACAAATCACCCATTGAATAATTAAATAAAATTTATTGCGGAAATGATTTTATAGTAGATTACTGTAATGTAATATACATATATAGTATACCACATATCGTCATAGTCGTAAAATAATGACGGATTTTTATATTGTAATCTTCGTCAGATCCGTCAGTATGCTACGACTATGACGATATGTGAATTACTCACTGAGCTATAGAGAAGGCTATGCTCAGAGTTTCTTTACGTAACAGAATACGAAATGAGGATATCCGCAAAAGAACCAAAGAGACCGACATAGCCCGAAGGAAAAGCAAGCTGAATTGGCTGAATGGGCTGGTCACATAGCTCAAAGAACTGACAACCGATGGGCAAGAAAGATTCTTAAGTGGCGACCCTGTCCGGGCAAACGTAGCGTAGGACGACTCCCCTCTAGATAGAATGACGACCTCTAATACATTGCAAGAAGTCAATGGATGCAGGTGTGAGCCATCTGAGGATCATTCCTTATGGCAGTCTATGGGGGGAAATCTATGTCCAACAGTGGACAGATAATAACTAATATGATGATAATATAATATATGTTAAATGTATAAGATATTGTCCGTTTAGTAAACATTTAAGCGTGTTTAATATTGTACGACGTTTTCTTGATACTTGAAATATTCAAGTCACTATGTACCAAATTATAACACTGAATTAGTGACCCATATCACAAATATATGGGTCACCATATGGGTGAGTATAGTATGTAGGCCAGGTGCTTCTAATAAGGACCGGTCTGTTCAAAAATACTGTAATTGGCTCTAGTTTTTTTTTTTTTTTTAGCACTATAAAGACATTGACAATAATTTTATCCATTTACATTTTTATTCTAAACTTAAAATTAATTTGAAACAAGCAACAGCTGAGTATCTTGCCCATTTTTCTCAGCTTAAATTGTATTCCGAACTGGGTGGTAGATTCATAAAAAAATAATTGTTTAAAAATGTTTATAATTAACATTCACTTGACTAAAAATATTTTTATTTAGTACTATTTATAGTTTTTTTTTTTATCTATTCGTAAAAAACCAAGCTGTTAAATACGGAAAAAGACGTCTATCCTATATATCAGGGGTGGCCGACTTGACTAGATCGAGAAGAGATGCTCTTACTGACGAAATTCTGCGCAATCTACCAATTACATACTTCTTGAAATCTTAAACGAAACAACAACACAGTTCAGTACACAATTATATAGTATTGTAGTATTTTTTTTTTTATTTTATTAAAAAGGAAAACATAAAATTGAACATTATTCTTAGTAACTACTTATTTATATTAGTGTGAGCATTGCGTCATAGCATCTTCCGCTAGATTAGCAAAATACTACATTTTTCCATTGCCACGATCGACTGGACTAATAGTCGCAATCGACCAATTGACCCCCTGTAAATTTTTTTTTATACAACTTAGAATGGCATACAAGCTGACGGCCCACCTGATGGAAAGTGGTAACCGTCGCCTATAGACATGAGCAGTACCATGGACATAACAGAGTATTCTGTTTCGCCCATGATACCTACCACGCGTTGCCATTCCTGAGGACTCAGGTGTTTTCCTCTGTACCTTGTAAATTCACGCCATATCCCACCCTTCAAACCGAAACACAACCAAGTAAACTGTATATTATATTAAAAAGGACATTATGTTCGTGTACTAAGTTATTATATCTTTTAATATTCACATACCTTTCAGTCTAACGAGAGACAATCCTTGGTGTTAATTTTAGTCATATACTACTAATGACATGTCCAGATATGTGTTCCTTGTCTGCACATGCTTTTAGTACTAAATTTGTGTACTGAAAAATTTTATTAAAAAATACAAATAAAAATATCTATTTACTATCTTAACGATTAATAAGAAGACAATGCTCGATGTTAGTCGATCACGCATTTTACATGTTTAACAATTACGTTATTTCAGTTAATTTTAAACTTTCATTGTTCACACATTTCATATTCAGGACTTAACTAATAAAGTTTTACCGTAATTACGACGTAAAGCAATCACGTCGAAACGTCTGACTTCTTATTTATTTATTTTCTCAACAGGCAACATTATATAGCATCATAAAAAACGTGACAATTTAAAAAAGGCTTTGTACGAGTTGACTTAAAGTTCATTTTTTAATTTGAATACTTTAAATTATTTTAATATTTTATCGTCCCCAAATACTTATCCAGTAATGATAACCGTATCCTCTAGCGGATTGTATACGGACAGTGACGTTATTGTAGCCGATCCCACCAGCAATGATCCATGGAATCGCGTACTGTGTTATCCCAATTTCTGTCGCTTGGACCGCACTGATCCTAGTGGTAAAATTCCCTCGATACACCACATCCTGGTACTGGATTGCGTTGACGAGCGGAGGTTGGTAGATATTTATTCTACAATATACAACAAATGTTAAAAATTGTTAGTAATGTATCAAAAACAATTCCAGTTCAATTTTTAAAAAACGCTCTTATTACAAGTTAGTTTACATAGTGAATTCTTGGACAATAAAAGAAGGTCATTATTTAGTCATTTTAAGGTCGTCACAAAAACATGACTATATAATGACGTCTTTTTTTTTCAATCATTCTTTAGTCATTTTGTAACCTCAAAATTATTAAATAATAACGTTATTATGGTCACGCATGTCCCCATACCTTGCCGTGTGGTCCCGGCATACAACGAACCACTCCTATCTTTCCCGTGAGAGTTGTAAGAAGCAACTAAGGGAACTTAATAGTCGAGGGATGGGCAGCAGCGTTCCTTAAATATTTCCGAAGCCTAATTGCCAAACCACAAGCCAAGCGTGACAACTACTAACTAAACACCCCTTATGGGGGAGATCTATGTACGGCATAAGACAGTTAACAGCTGATATGATAATGATGAAGTCGCTGTACTATTTAGAAAATCACACAAAACACTTAATAGATATTGACAACAACTACTTTTGACGAAAATATAGAAAGTTAATTAAAAGTTAAAATATTGGAATGAAATTAATCATGCTGTATATACGAGGGCGGTCGCACGGAAGC